AGAAAACAAAGGTTTCAGGACCAGCAGTTGGCATAATGACTATGTTGCTGGATTCCCATGTACTCGACCACGGTTCGAGTCCCGGACCCGTGGCTTAAACTCACGCCAGGAGCGTGTGCATGTGTGCCCAAGAGTGGCGGCGCCCAAAAGCAAAAAACCCTTAAAAAAAAAAAAAAAAAAAAAAAAAGAAGAAGAAGGAGAAGAAGGTTTCCTTAGTGTCTTCCCAAACTCTACACCCTCTCCCCATTCAGACAAAACTCCAGAGGGCTGGTGCTGTCGCGATACTTTACCTACTTGCTTTACTCTGGCTGGACCCAGAGCCAGACCTAGCCTTGAGTGTATAGGACACGTCTCCCGAAGCAGGGAGGTGGCAAGGACCTCAAGCATAGACTTGTGGGAAGGGGCTGCTGCTCTCCAGTGGTCCCCGCCCTCTGCCATTTCCCTCTTCCCCCAGAAGATGAAGACCCAACTTGTCTGTGAGCCCGAGGGAGATGAGGAACTCTGAGCATCTTCCTTGGCAACAAGCATCCCTCGGGTGAGCCTTGGGGACAGAAGAGGAGCCTGCCTCTCGGAACCAGGCTTGGCAAAGCGGTTCCTCATGAGGGGAAGTCTCCAAGTCTGCCTTGCTCCGAGGGGAACCTGGAGGAAGTTCGTCCCTATTCAGAAAAGTTGGATGGGGACAGGGAGACAGAGGGTGAGGCCCCAGGCCACTTGGTAAGCCTCCTCAAGCCCAGGGCCCAGCTCAGACAAAGCGAATGGAAATGCATCTTCAGGTCACCCAAGAAACCTGAACATGAGGGTTTTGCAAAAATAGAACATCCCGGTCCTCTGACCTTGAGCCGGAAGTAGTGAGGATGGGGAATAGGCGAATACTCGCAACGTCTCCAGTTCACACAGGATGAGTCTGGGAGCCCCCACCAGCAGCCGGGGACTGCAGGACGGAGACCCCACTGCGGCGTGTCTAAGCAGAGCAGAGGAGGCGCTCTGGGCTTGGGGTTTGAGACCCCAACAAGGAGCTAGGCGCTCTGGATTCCAGTGCATGGCAGGACGCCTGTGCCCCGTCGTTGTACGTGGAAACCTGGAGCTGCATCGTCTTTGCCTAAAAGGCCACTGGAATGAGACACGACGGCGAGGGGGGAAGGCGGGGTCTCCGTGACCTGTGTGCGTGCATCCCAAGAACGTGCTCGGCCCCTCGCCTCCTCACACTGAGCGTTCAGAGCAACTTCTTCAAATGTACTACGTGTACTAACTCAACACCACCTGGCCCACCAGTCCCTGCTGCAGAGAACAGAAGACCATCACAGGAGAGAAGCAGAGGTCCCAGAGTGGGGAGAGCGCTGAGCAGAGAATGGGGAGTCCCAGGTCCCACTCCCAGAGCCACACCAGACAGCATGTGGCCCAGAGCAAGATGCTCGCCGTCCCTGGACTTCAGTCTTCTCCTTCTAAGCCCAGGGTGCGTGTGCGTGTGCATGTTGGGGACAGGGAGGGTTGGATGAGGTGCTCCTCCAGGCTCCTTCCTCCTGGCTCTAATCTTCTGGGCTCTGGGGCCCTTACTGCGTTCAGAGAACAGAGCACCAAGCACAAAGGAGCCACAGCAGAGAGCTGGTGGGGCTGTGACCAGCTGTCTCCTTAGAGTGGTGTGCTTGCACCTGCCTCCTGGCACAGAGGTCCCAGGGCCACCTGAAGTCAGGACTGTAACCACAGTGGTGACTGCTGGGGGCTGTGGCCTGGGCTTGCCTGACGCATGAAGTGACTATGGTCAGGGAAGGGCAAGAAGTGAGGAAGTCCGTGGTCCCCGGCTAGGTGCCTTTGGCGCCCCCTCCTGGAGGCCAAGGAGCCTGCTCCACTTCTCAGCTTCCAGGCCTCAGCAGGCAGCCAGGAAGCTTGAGAAAGGGAGGCTTTCCCAGCTGTGGATAGGACGGCCTTCCTGGTCCTGGCCCCTCTCGGTCAGAGTCTATGCTGTACTCCCTGGGGTTAAGCAGCTCCTGGTCCACGCACTCACAGGGCGCCCCTGTGCAGCCACAGAGCATCGTAACCGAACACCAAGGAATAAACATCAGGGCTCCGCACACCAGGTGCAGCCCAGGTGGAAAACGGGAAGCGAGAGCAGTGAGCAGGTATCTCACTGTATAAATCCCAGTGGAGCGAGGATCTTGGGAAATGCAGCAGCAAAATGCCGGCTGTAGGCAGACAGAGGATGGGGCTAAGATTTGGGGTATGGAGCCATAGCTCCCATAGAAGATTTCCAGGCCAAAGCAGCCGCCCCAGGAGTTTGAACACCCACTTATGTTCAGGGTGGGGTATGGTGAAGGCTACAGCCCAGGGAACCAGAACATTCTCACTGGGTCCTCTGTGCTCACATCAAGGCCCTAACCCCCTCGTTGCCTCTTAAATTGACTTGAGGACCTGCTGCCAGAACGATGCTCTTAACCAAGGCGGAGAGAGAGAAACGCTTCAAGACCACATTGGAACAGCCGCCATGTTCCCGCTTTGCCATCCTCACCTCTCCCTGCCCATGGCTGAGAGCGAGGTAGGGCGCAACCTCCAAAGGAGCTCGAATTCCGTCTTGGGTGTTTCCAGTCTCAAGTCATCAAGGCCCCAAATCTTGCATGGGTAGCTTCTCTCTTCCCACATAAGTTCTCCCCTGATTCAAGGCAGCACCACAGAATGGTCTCCAGCTCCCAGAACACCCTTCCCAGGCTTCACTTGGGAAGCTCCATGCCCATCCCAGAAGAGATCTCAAGTGTGACTCCAGAATGTGTCCTGCCTGGAGAGCGAAGCTCCTTCTGGGATGTACAGAAGCCACATGGGGCGAGCCCACCACCAGCAGCAGCAATATTCATTAGTCATTCCCAGAGGGAGCCCCCCACCCCGGGCCCCTGGGAACATTTCCCCGCGGCGGGAGGCTCCCATCCAGGCTGGGATGACTTTGGATTCTTGAGTTGGTTTCTGCAGAAGCGGGGACAAACCAGGGCTCCAACTACTGCGCCGCTAAGATGCACGCTGCATTGCTGGGCATGCCCCCAAGCCCGGCCTGCTGCCCCATCAAATCCTTCATCAGCCCCCCCCCC